CTTCATCACTTATAGTAAATTGAATTTATAGTAAATCTATAGGGTTAATGGTTCCCCATTAAATCACTTTTCATGCGTATGGCGTAAATTATGCACTATTTTTTCTTGAGACTGAAATCCAATTGTAAAAATTTAGAGGGTATATTGTACAAATGCAAAATTCACACTTCGATAAGCTATAAAGTTGAATTTTATGTAACTGAGATCGTAACATCGAACATTTTATTAAAAACGTTATGAAAGAAGGCAAACGAAATTAAAAGTAGGTACGGGCTATCTGCTTATTAAATTGACACAGTTAGTGAGAGAGTGTGAGACTACAATGTTTAATTACGTTGTGTTTTTTTCAACGCTACAATAGTTCAATAACAATTCTATAAATAATCTAATTTCCACGTGATAGAAATCAGGATCATAGTTTTCTTAATTTTATTCAATGTTAAGGTCACGATTACGGGATACGCACCTTAGATTCTAGAAAGCTGTAAAACGTGAATCATCAATTAGCTTAAAGAATTTCAGCTTTCTTTTCACTACCACCTATAGTTATAGTTCTCTTATATATTTAGGTATATATTGATAAATGAAATTTAGTTTACTTTCCCACAAATTTGATGCGCATTTTTTAAGACGCTAGGTATTTTCTATGAGAATTAGTGTATATATAGTCGTCGCATTTGGTATTACTACAGCAATCGACTTCATCCGGGAAATGACTAAAAAGGAGAACCCTTCCGAAGTAGTAAAAGTCATCCTACAACTTTCAAAGTCAATAACCAAGCTTTTCTCCTACATCGGTAAATTATAAGTTTAATTACGAGCACAAATTTCTTTTGAAATCTAGGTAGACTTAGAAAAAATGATATCAAATCGCGATCTCATTTTATTCCACTTTTAGCCAATGTATTACTTACTTGTAGCATATGGCAATTATGGCTAATGACCTAAAATGTACCTAGAATTGAGAAAGTTAACTGAATATCGTGTACAAAATCCGGCACTAGAACCAACAATTACAATTAGTACAATTTTTACATGAGTATGCTTTTAATTTTGAATACTTATATAGCAAGTGCTTACTCACGATCCTTTATTGTGCACAGTTTTGTTGTCGTTCCCACAGCCCTGCAAATGCAAATTACAGACAAATTCTATTGCTTTCTCCACCATCTTGCTTATTCTCATTGTCATGTTTTTATGATCATTCTTTTACTTGATACTTTTAATTGATACAGTGATTCCCCTCAAAATTTCTTAATTTATATGGTTTTTGAATTATTGGTTGGTAACCTGTATGGACATCAGATGCTTACTAAAAAACTGGACAAGTAATGTTATGCTACTTTACGGTGCCAATGCTTTGACCATTAAGTGCTGCAGATTTTTTTCAGTAATTTTATTCAATTATCAACCCTGGCTTTTGTAAAGAGGGTTAAAGTAAGCTCATTTAAAGTGTACCCGAGGGACATCGAACTAAGATCATCTGATTTCCTAAATTGAAAGCAAATCAAAGATCTCGATTATTGAGGGGTCCTACTTGCTCAAGTGCCCAAAAGCATTACCGATTGCGGGAAAATTAATTTTTTTACCATAGAAGACGAAATTTGCTAGGTTTTAACCTTAACGGCAGTGGATGCAATGCATGTTTGGGCAGATCTCTGTAATTTACGAGGTCAGCATGGGGCGTTCCCGGGATCTTCGCAGAACATAATCCTTATCCTTAACCTCCTAACAATAAAGTCCCTAGATTACTACCTAACAATGTCACTAGTGCGCAGAGTTCGAAGTAGAACTGCTGTAATTGTAAAAATTAGTATAAAAATCAGACTTCAAAATAACATCGATATAGAGATATAGAGAGTTGGCCCAAAATCCATTATACAGAGCAACCAATTTAGTATGTCAAAAAATGGCATAAAAAGCAACTTTACAAATAAGTCGAATAAATGTGGCCTATATTTTTTTATTCTTGTCTTAGGAACCGTAACAGATAGCAGGATGGAACCTGTGCCTTTACCTAAGATTTTGGGAATGCCCTTTCTGATTTTGTAAGGCCAACGCGTGTTTTAACATGAAAATGGCGAAAAAACTGCAATTCTACACTAAAATGGTCATACTTTCAAAAAATTTGATGAACACACTCTTTGTGTATTCTGAAGAATTGTCGAAAATTTCTATTTCTAAACGATTTTACACAAAAAAGTTATGAACTTCAGACGTTAGATTTCAAAATTCGTCCGTATAAAGATAAATTCCGAAGTTTTAAAATAAATTAGTGGCATTAATCTCGAAATAGAAATTTAGTTTAAGAGTTACCGCATCAAGGGCCTTAGATACATTCCGGACTGGAGAATGTCCGGCTATTTAAGTATTTCATGTACTTGATGTAAGATACTTCAAGCTGTTTTATAATTTACAAAGGATTTGGAGTTCCTTTTAAATCTACTTGATTAAGATACACTTAAACCTATCAAATTTTGTACAAGATTTACCGTCAGGTTAAAGTTGTTCAAATTCAAAAGATACTTCCCTCATATTGTTAAGTTTTGCAGATTGTAGATGTGATGTTGAATGAGTGTTTACCGTAGTCCCACAGTTACCCTCTCTTCCACAAATTTTCCCTCCATATCTACCTTCTGTGAACAAGTGAACAAATTACCGGTTGTTGTGTGAATAAAATATCAACGTGTTTTATTTCACTGGTGGTCTTTGGGTTCATTTTATTATTAACGTGTTGGTTATTTTTTTGCAGCCTCTGGTTTAGTTGGTTGAGATTCGCTGGCCCACCTAAGGTGTCACTAACGCCATCTCTTGGCAGGTTCTTTGCGCCAATGCACGCAAGCCTAAAGATATCAATTTTTACTTCTTTTTCCGGTATGGTTTTCTTTTGACAAGCACGTTGAAGTATTAAGTTCAAGCAGAGTTGATAATTCTGTGGATCTAATTGCAGAAATTATTTGAAAATGTCTTTAGTTTTTGTTATGCTTAATTTCTTGTTAGTTCGAAACGAACTAAGACACTTGTCTTTCGTCTCCGTTAGGGAGGACACGCCAATTGCTGATTCTTTTTCTTATCTTGTTATCTCAGTCGAAAAAACCCTCTTATTATTTTAGAGGTTTGTTCATTCTTTGTGATTGGACGGGTTCTTCCTCTTTTTCTTTGGATTTCTACGCTAAATTCTTATAAGTACGAGGGTGATTCCAAGGCAGAAATTATTTGAAAATGTCTTTAGTTTTTGTTATGCTTAATTTCTTGTTAGTTCGAAACGAACTAAGACACTTGTCTTTCGTCTCCGTTAGGGAGGACACGCCAATTGCTGATTCTTTTTCTTATCTTGTTATCTCAGTCGAAAAAACCCTCTTATTATTTTAGAGGTTTGTTCATTCTTTGTGATTGGACGGGTTCTTCCTCTTTTTCTTTGGATTTCTACGCTAAATTCTTATAAGTACGAGGGTGATTCCAAGGCAAGGTTACACGCTTAAAATCGAGTTTGGCACCGATTCCTTATCAAACCACTTGAGCGACCGCCAGCTGATATCATTTGGAATGCCCACTTGGTGCAGGGTCAACCGTTTTCCCACGAATGACCTAACCCACAACAACTGGGTTCGAGGTACTGCGCAGTTTACTCCTTTAAATAGATCAAGTCTCGTAGCGATCAATCCAAGACTCCATACATACATAAAACGCTAGCAAAGGGAAACAATTGCGCTGCCAGTTAATACAACACGCTGTAATTTTTTGGTGACCATTAATGAATGTAAAGTTTCCAGTTTATGGTGAAACTCGCTTCTTAATATTGACGTATTGAGTAATTTATTTGCGATACGCGCTTTGCCCAATTCCGTAGTATTGTTTTTATGAATCCAGAATGGGTTGTTATTGTACAGGCTAAACTCAAATTCTCATAAAGTTATTATCACTTTATTTGTTGTTTTGCCGCTAATTTAACTTGACATTCCACAAATCTTACCTACACTTATGATTTTAACAACACCAATTATCAATTGGCCAAAATAATACCACAATGTTAAATTAGCACGTTAATGATACATTAGCACGTTAACGATACAATATAAACTTTTTTTGAAATATACACAACATTTTCTGCAAAGCAGGAGTCAAAAGCAATCCTAGAAAACGTTTTTAGTTTATTTATTATTAGACGAACACTGGACAAACAATGAAAAACTTTTGGGGTAGTGTTTAGAAGATTATTCTAGTGAGAACTAAAGTGCCTGCAATATCTCGGAAAATGAAGATATGAACAGAGCTCTAAACTTATACTATCGATCTATATGATTAAGGAAATTTCCTTAAAACGTTGTCCCAACTATCAGGTAACTGTCAGAGTTTTCTGTCCTATTCCTGTAAAGAATGTACTCGTGTGCTTCATGCACTAAAATGTTCCATCTTCGTATACAGGAAATTCAATAAGCGCACAAAAAGGCACTAATACCACATAAATCGAATTCATAAGCCCAACCTTCGCTAACACACATACCCTAGACGAATAAATAAATAAATATAAATAAAAAATACTGGATGTACGTTAAAGTTACATAACCGCACGTCTACCGTGACCCTATTTACGAAGAAAAAAATCCTCCACCAATGTAGCTTCATTAACTTCTGCTTGAATAGAGAGGTTTTCACATTTACATGTAAACATGCATGAATAGACCCTTACATTTTACCTAATCTAACAAAAGCCTTTCGTATGGCCCGTTTAATATCAAACTTATGTGATCGAACATTATCCCTAAACCTTGGGGGTTTATGCTTTTCAACTTTTAGATAACTTAAGACCTCCGAAGACAGTTCAGAGTCAAGTCTGTTTCCTGCAACATTTTTGCGGTCACAAATCCTTAGATATATCATACTTATGATGGCCGTTAAATTTCGCTCTCCCAAAATGGAAATGCTACGGAATTTATCATCGGGATTGTATACGTCCGTGTAATGGGTGGCCTATCTTTTGAAAGCATTTATTATACAAATTATTGGATTAGTACTATATTTGGTATGTAAACCGGTACATTTTACGCTAATAAATATTTACATAATGTACATTTAACACTAACATAAATAAAATTTAAGGTTAGACTTTGAAAATAAATTACAATAAAAGTCAATTGAGCGTCGGAACTTTTACACATGCACGCTTTATACGCTAACATAAAATAAATCAAGCAATGCCGGTGCTTATTATCGTGTTGAGAATCACGAATCTGGAAGTATGGACTTCTTTGAGCTGGTCTCAACCTCGACATCACCATCTAAGTTACGCTTAGAATTTCTGTAATCTGAATAGCCTGAGTACGCCAGCTCCTGAGCAGATTTACGGTAATCTTCAAAGGCAACACCGTTGTGCCCGTAATGATGCGGACTTGAGTAATCACGAGAGTATGTCGGGTAGGATTCTTTGACGTGCGGGTAGTATCCTATTCCCGCGGGCGAGTAGTGAGGACCGCTGTAATGGTCACTGTGTCCGAAGGCCGAATGCAAGTCTGGTTTACACAGTTTGAAAAATCCTATCACACCAGGAATTACTATGGCCAGAAAACCTAACAGTTTCTTGAATGATGCCAGACCGAGGATGAGTGGTAGGAATAGCAGCAGTTTCAATTTGAAGAGCTTCAGTATTATCAGCATGGGAATGAACAGCTTCTTAAGTTGTTTTCTATCTGAAATTGAATTTTATTAGTCGTTGGTAGGCTATGGGAGCAAAAAGAGCTACTGAAGTAACAGAAAACGTACTGGATTTAAACGTCAGTACCAACAACCAACATATCTTATTTAGTTGTGGCCGAGTATGAATGAAACTAACTCTCTAATAAATGTGCTAAAGTCTGGAATCAATTGCAGCAACTTACTTGACACTCACACACTAAACTTTCAGTAGTACGACACGGAATCAGATTTGTTAGTGTAGTTTGAGAATAAAATTGCTCATCGATGGAGGAATTAAGGAACAATGGATTAGAGCATTAACGTTACTGGTCTTCCAGATAAGTATCAGCCAATGATTATGGTCATGGAGAGTTCAGGTACAGAAATTACCGGAGACTATATGTCAAAACAAAGTTACTTCAGGATATAAGTAATAATAATGTTTATTTAATCCTGTTACGACATAAAAATGATAGAACAAAGTTAAATGTGGGAGATAGATAAGTAGATACACTGCAGTGTAAATGAAGCAGTTGCACTTGTTGGAAAATCGGGGTGTGGTGACTTTGAGAAAACTGTGAAGTGTCATAGATGTCATGAACTCGGACATATTAAGTCGAATTGCCCTAAGTAGAAGCTCGACAAGAAAAACAATGACGGAAAGAACATGTTTTGTGCTATATCGGCGTTGAAGTGTCCAGAAAAATAATGGTTTTTTGACTCTGGCACAACTTCGCATATATGCAAGGAATGTTCCAATTTTGAAATTATGACAGAGAATAACTCTACAGTGAATGGACAATTTGCTGGAACTGTCAATTTGACCGTGAATGTCAATTATACGAATGAAAGTGTCAGCTTGAAGGGCGTTCCCCATCTTACTGAGATTCCAACAAAGGGTATCTTCAACAAGCAAGGGTACAGAGTTGTTAATCAGAACGATGAAGTGGAAGTAATTCTGGAAATTTGTTCAAGTGGAATATTATATGTATCAATAGAGAAATCAAGTTTAGCTGATGTTTGGCACAAGTGTTTCGGAAATCCTTGTCACAGCAATATAAAGGTTGGGTATCTTGTTAAATGTTACTTTGAATATTTCTGAGTGCACTGCATGTTTATTGGGTAAGATTCCTCGTTGGCCATTTAATAATTTTGGTTCAAGCACCATGTTTACTTGTGCTGATGTTTGCGGTACCATGGAGGAAATTTCATAGAACGGTTCAGAGTATTAGATTGTGATTATTAACGACTTCTCCAGAAAAATGTATCGGTATTTCTTGGAATGTAAAACTTTGGTTTCAAACAAAATGGAGCACTTGAAGAATATGGCAGGAAATCAAATAGGTTACAAAATGAAAATTCTCAGCAGAATGGCATGGTAGAAACTATGAACAGAACCTTAATAAATAAAGCTGATTCATTCCAATCTTGAGGCGAAGCTATGAATTCTGGGTTGTGCCGGCCCACGTGGCGCAGTTCAGTTAAAGCTGAACTGTGGTGCTAAGACTCCCTGGTTCAAATCCGGGTTCGGGCATGGATATACGTAAATGTATAGGGGTTGGGTTGGTAGATCAGCCTTGGCTGAAACCGCTCCCACTCAAAAATAAAGGCAAAATAAAATTAAAAGTTAAAATAAATTAAAAATAAAAATTTGGTGAATTGTTTACCATGTAAAGGAATGTAAAGAAGAACACCTGCACAAATTTGGTCGGGGCAGAAACCAAACATTTGAAAGTTTCTGAATGCAAAGCATTATTCATACACCAAAGGAAAAGAAGCAGAAGCTTGATCCGAAAGGGAAGAAAATGATTTTTATAATATACTGTACAGCATCACAAGCCCATAGATTCTTCGATCCAATCACCAAGAGAGTTGATGTAAGTATAAATGTTTCTTTTCTTGAAAATCCATTTTATGGAGATGATACATACGATAATACATAAGATGGGGAATATATTTGACCCTCAAGATGAAAATTTGCTCAAAATAAATGAAAGAAATGGATTAAAAACGAAATTGGTTAAGAAGAACCAGAAGCGAAAAGGAATAAGGACTATTATTATTATATATATTGGTCATCCTTCGGAATGAGAAGAGAGAAATGAGCAGAGAAAGGGAAAAGGTTTGGAACCGACCATTTTAAGCAAAAGTAGCAAATAACTACAAATCTTGCCTCCTTTTGTGATCCTATTTCGCGTATGTGATGGCCGAAGTATAATATGAAGGCTTTGTGTTTAAAAATAATGTAGTGCAACCGAATACTTCATGTTTTTTTTTGGAATCGAAACTATGGTTGGCTGTAGTGCATTTCACAGTGACCTTTCAGTACAGACAGCATAGGGCTATGTAAATCTTATGGAACATTGGAGCTCAGTGTTGCCTGTTTTAAGTTGACCACTGCTGCTTCGGAAATGTGTCACATAAACGAAATTGACGTTTATGTTTTCAGGTGAAAGAATATCCATTAGCTGAAAATATGTCTGGAATCACTGTTCTCCATAAGAGCTTGTATTGAAAGGTCACTGTGAAACGCACTATAGTTGGATATGGATAAAATATGTCCTCTTTTGATAGAATTTAAGGTATGCGAAAAATCACTTGATACAGTGTAGACAAATTATGGGTTTCTCTTCATTTTCGGACGTTTCAAGTAGTAGGTCGTAACCACACTATTTACAAATATCGAGTGGTATCAAGTCAGAGCTGTTGGGAATAGGGCCCTTCGCCCACCGGTCGATGACTTGCAATGCCAGTGTCACACTAGTGAGATGCACAACTTTTATCAACACACGCGCGCAACTGGGTTTTGGACTACACAAATTTCCAATAAGCAAATATAATCGAACAACTTCCTAAACTGGTGCAACCTTGCAACTGAAACCGTTTCGCGACCGATAGGAACGATATCACGCAACTAGTTGAATGGGCCACGTTTATTCTCAACTGCGGTACTATTTAAGGGTCCTGGTTCGAATCCGGGTTCGGGTATTATATATAATAAATGTATAGTGGGTTGAGTTGGTAGAGCAGCCTTGGTTGAAACCCCGCCCACTTAAAAATAAAGATCTAAAATAAATAAATAATTAATGTCGATCCGTATGTGGTTCCTCACTACATGGTTAAGGTTTGATTTTGCCTTTGCCTTTATTTTTGAGTGGGCGGGGTTTCAGCCAAGGCTACTCTACCAACCCAACCCACTATACATTTACAAATATCCATGCCCGAACCCGGATTCGAACCAGGGACCCTTTGTACCACAGTCCAGTTTTAACTCGATTGCGCCACACGGGTCGGCTGAGATCACCAGCTCAAGGTATGTTTGAATAGTTTGCAATTCGGGTTGCAAACCAGTTGACGCGTATGCGGAGGGCCTAATCCATGCATTGGTGAGACCAAGTCATAACTCAAAAACTAAAACTTGCATAAAAGTCGGTTTCACTGTACTAATAGATAACTGTTTCAATTATTGTATACCCTTTAATATAAAGATTTTGATAAACAAATACTTAATGGAATCTTTTATTACTAAGCATTGAATTCGGGTCGAAAAAATGGCAATCGTTTTCATAGTTAGTGGTCTGCTAGTTTCCGCAATCCGCATCCCATTACAAAAGCGTATATTTTGGGGTACGTTCTGTACAGAGTCCTGTACTGTCAAAAGATGAAACAATGAAATTGAAAAATTCAATTAACAAGGAATAAGTGGAGTCGCTACCAAAATATTGAAAAAAGAAAGATAATTTAGTGGTTATTCAATTTTCCTCTTCTTATTCTGTACGCTTAATGGTGACTGCACCAGCAGCAAATATATTCGAGGAAAATGGCGAATCTGATGGAAGAGAGTAATGGAAGCAGGTGTCTATTTTACCTCTTCGACATCTGCCTTGCAGCAAGTCTTCTAACTCCTTGAAAATTCGCTTGCAGAAATGCCAGTGGCTTAGTAAACAACCTTCCAAAAGCGGCTTAGTGTGCATTGCTGTCATTGACTGATTGACAGTTAGAATTGATTTTAAAAGCAATTTTGAAGTAAATGCGACAGTATCATAGGGAGTCTACTCGATCCACGGTTGGAACAATTCAATTCTAGCCAAATGAAAAGGCATTATTTAACATAAAGAAACCGATTTCTCCATGCGAGTGGATAACAGCTGTGTTTAAAGGTCAAACACCTTTAGAAAGGAAATGATATAGGTATGTCCACAGGGCGAAAGGATATAGTATAAAATATGTTCTAAGCTTAACTATAACCCGAAATCCTCAAATATAGTTGCTTAATGCTTGTCTGATTCATGCGATATTTTCTGAGGATATATGGATTAAATTTGTGTGTATAGGAACTACAGAACATGGATAGATCTATCAGGATAATGGGTTTCATGTATGAAAGCACGTCCTATTAGGGTCGAAATACTGTCACCACATGCGAAGGTGTGCAAGTAATAAACAAAGTTTTACGTCGAGGACAAAAGGTGAATCTTCTTACTCGCCCTTTCTACAAAATCCAATATTTACTGTACGTCTTAGTAGTGCTATTATACCACAAAAGCACAATCGGTCATCGATTATGTGTCAACACTAGAGAATTGTGTCTTTAACCCGCATGTCTGAACAAACTCAAACAAACTAATGAATTGGAAATTGTAGATAGATTGAAAAATACGACACCGGCCAACTACTTTAACAAGTTTTCCTTTTGTTATTTGCATTCCCCCAACTTTTACAAAACTTGAAAGCTCTTTATGTAGAACCGCTTTTCAAGTTCTCGTCGTAACTAAGACATACGTACTGAAATAGCTGTCCTTTTTATCTTCAATTATGTCAATCTCGTCAGCGATTTCATCCACAAATCTAGGTGAATATCTCCCGTTTTCGGTCACCTCATCATTCATTTTTACTTCGATACCAGTCGATTTGAGAAACTTTTCAACCTGCAACGCAAATGAAGATACCAAACATTCTCGTCCAAACTTAAACTTAACCCTTACCCTCCTCGCAGCGAATTTCACTAATTGATCCCATTCCGGCTCATCACCTCTCGGAAGTTCGGAATACTCGTACCGCTCGTGTGATAATTGTCGTAATTGCGTTTCGGGCATACGCAAAATTCTCGCATTTTCGGTTAGTTGATAAGATCGCTGCAATATTCAATTACCGAAGGAATTTCGATGGCCGTTTCAGTTTACCTGATTGAAAAATTCGTCCAGCGATTGGAGGGCTCTAGATTTGAAACACTCTGCGAGATCTCCATTTAAACATCCTGTATTAGCTCTGGCGAGGTACGGGTCGACGTCGGGCCCCGTTCCCAAACCGATCCAATCCAGTAAGTCTCTACCTGAAAAATAAAATCCAATTAACGACGTCTTTATATCGTTGCGACAAGCTCGTCATTTTGAAAAGAAAATCGAAATTGAAATACCTTTGATTATCCGTCAGAAGCACTTAAAACTAAATTAATAATGCCAAGGTTCCAATTTCAAAGCAAGTTAGATTGACTTTGGAATATGATATTTACCAAAATGAGTGAGCTTGACTCTCAATTTGCTCATTTGTTTTACAAATACGAAACTTCGTTATTTTCACACAATTAGGCCGTGAACGGCATTCAGATTCTTGGAATTTAATGATCCGAGAATATAACATGTGGGTCTTCAAAGCTGCCTTCTGTGTTTACGTAGGTTGTGGCATAGGACTGTGTTGGTACAAGTTAATTCAACGCAATTTATTCAGAAAAATTAACGTTGGTCGTTGTGTATTTGTAACCAAGCTTTAACACTTTCAGAGGTGAAACAAGGAATGTATTTTTCAAATAAACCTATAACGAGTATCGTACATTATAACTCATATGAACTACTAAAATATCTACATGTAGCAGTCTTGAGACTATGGGGATCGCTTTAAGAATTCAAAGGAACGCAACCTTGTTGCATGATATAGGTAATTAGGACAATATTAAGATTGTCACGTAGAAATGTTTCCAGTTCAACACAAGTTACTTTTCTCACTTCAAGCACTTTGGATAAAACATAAAGTAAGGATAAATGGAGTAAAGTTCAACGCGATATAATTCTTAAACTTTTTTTAGAATGAACTCTTCCTTCGTTGACTAGTTAGACAAGTCCAGCTGATGTCACCATTAGCTTTTCCTTTTATCTATTTTTTCCGTAGAATTCACCACTTATTGAAACAGGGGGAGTTTTTTTTTTCATTTTAAGCATTAGGATCTTGGAAACCGCAAGACATAGAGATTTGGTTAAATGAGGAAAGAGTTGTAGTTTTAAGGGCTTATTCAAGATATGCTTTTGTTTTTTTAAGAAAATCCACAGTTTACTAGATATGAGCGAAAAACAGATTTAGTGATTTTTCATTTAACTGTTGTAGAATCGTTAGTATTAGAAATACAGAAATATGCAAAGAACAAAAATGGTAGATTTTTTTCCGCTTAATAAGATACATTTATTAATATTTATTCTTCTTTTATAATTTTCGAGTTATAACGCAAACTTACATTTTTTAAATGGTAATCATGGTTGGCTGTGACATTTTTAAAAAGTGCATTTTTTTCTGTTTACAATGATATAAGGTTCATTGTACTTACTTTGAGAAATAAACATGATACAGAACTGTTTGTATTATTTAGAGTAGTGGAAACAGGTTTTGCCATGGGAAACATTTTTGTTCTCTTAATTACTGTCTATTATAATATTTAACTTGCGGTTAGTTGTGCGACGGGGCACCGTTGTGTTGAAATCAGCGTAAATTACGTCGTGTTTCCAAATCTAACCCATCCTACATATCTTGAAATTCATTTGGTAGAAAATGAAGATAACATTGGCCCATCCAATTTGCGTCGTAAATGAAAGGTACCTATCTCACTAGATATTGTTTTCCATGGCCAACTCTGTTTACTTACCTCTCAATAATACGAAAATTACTGCAGGGCGTTTATTTATTAAAGTACATTTAGCAAGCCTTATATCGTTATAAAGAGAAAAATTTGACCTTTTTAAAAATGTCAAAGTCAACTATGACCACCATTTAAAAAAATTAAAGTTTGTATTATAACTCAAAAATTGTAAGACTAAAAATAAATTAGTATGTTCATCATATTTAGCATTAAAATGTTTAAGACTTTTATTCGTGTCATTTTGCTGTATTTCTAATAATAGCGATTCTACAACAGTTAAAATGAAAAATCACTAAATCTGTTTTTCGCTCATATCTAGTGAACTGTGGTTTTTTTCAAAAAACAAAAGCATATCTTAAATAAGCTCTTAAAACGACAATTCTTTCCTCATTTAACCGAATCCGTATGTCTTATGGTTTCCGAGATCCCAATGCTTAAAATGAAAAAAAAACTCACCCTGTATATATTATTAAGTGCGGCAGTATTAGCTACAACTTGTCAAAAAACATTTTTTAAGCATCATTATGACGCCACTGAGACTTTTTTTTAAATTGCTTGTAATTTTTCTACGTATCTTCGTAGCGAATTTTAAGTACTTTTCATCAGTCAAAACCTTTAGTACGCCCACAACATTAAATTTTTGAAAAATTAAAAAAATATGTTTTCCCATCAAGACGCAGTGCCTCTGCCCATATCGCCAATATTAGTACAAATTGTTAGAACTTCTTCTAGTAGAATTAATTCAAAGACAATATGTTTCTTCAGCATTGCCAATGATTCTGATGTTACGCACTTTTTGATTTTCAAAATGTAGAATTTGATTCATACATAAAACCTATTAAAAAAAATCCCATTCTTTTCGACTACTCGATGCAGATATTCAATTAGTTCTTCCGTACAATTGCCTCAAACCGCAGATAAAAGACCGAATTAGAGACACTAATGCAGAAATTCAGATGATACAGATTTTACGCATTCTAAGCTCGTAAGATAATGAGTGCAGTTAACTTTCTAACCTTTATCGAGTAAATATATTTTTATTTACTTTTTTTCATGACTTGTGCACGCCTGGCGCCCAACAATTACATGAGCTTTGTCAAACTTTGGTTGGCCCGTTTCCTCTGGCTAGCGGTGACCAATTCCCTTTTCCTTCTCGCTGTTCGTGGAAAAACTAGGAAAGCAGAGTGCGCTACGGAGCGATTGAAAAATGATTAGTGGATTACATTTTGAAAACGAGGAGTTTGTTCTATTAAGAAAGAGTGGCCTTTGCAAAATCGCTTATTCCTTGGGAATGAGGATGGAATAGAACATCCATTCAGAAATGGAATCGCGGGTCGCAATTGGTTGCACGTCTTTTTATGACGACAGATTCAGTGCGGAGGGGAACTGTAACGTTTACAATAGATAAATCTTCAGCGGCTACAGAAATTGCGTTTTAACAAAAAAAGTCAAAAATTTGATTTTATTTTTTGGGAAAACGTAATTTTGGCGATATACCTATAATGACAATTTATTACCACTCTATTACCTTGCTTATGAGCAATAAACAAAAGGGGTGCCGGAGGGGGTGCCCATATTCGGCTCACTTGCTCTATTAATCGTAAATTCCCTCGGCAAGTCGTGTCGTTTCTCGACGGTCGGTGTTAACATTTGCTGCCTCACTTTCAAGTTCGGCAGTTGACTTGTAGAGAGATTGGGGGAGGGGTGTCTCTTGATTATATAAAATATCGGTGTTCTTTCTTACCTTCTCACCGTTACCATTTACCTCTTCAATTTGATTAATTTGATTTGATTATATTCTGGTCTCTGTTGAGTTGAGTGCGAAAGACGATGTCTAGGAAGATTGCAGTGGAAGATTCCAAAGTTTTCAGGGGTTCCGGGAAGATTTCGAATGCAACGTATTGAAATGTTGGGTGCTCACATTAGCGTGGCAAGCAGATCATCTTTATTAAGATAGCTATAAGAAAATGATTAGAAAATTACGAAGAGGTTTCTAAGACGACTAGGACTCTTAGACATAGTTCTAAGAAAATTCCTCAGCAGGAATAAAGGTAAAATTTACAGGCTCAAAGAAGTTTTGTAGAAGAGGATTCTTAGACACTTCAAGAAGGATTTTGTAAAACCCTCTGAAAAGGGTTTCTAAAAAGATCCTCTGGAGTCTCTGCAAAAGTGCTTGTAATACAATCTTTTTATCTTTGCCAAATTTCAGCGCTTTATCTGAAGAGAAAAAGGCACAGAGGGTGTAGGTGACTGGGCCTGTCTGGATTCTTTCTACCTCAAACAATATGTTGCATTTAAGACATTTTTTTAATTATACCATGCGTGAATCACCTTCGCAGGAAAGAATTCTTTGTTCCAAACAGCTAAACCGTTTTCGATTTTTTTTGGGAAAGTCTTGCCTGGATTGTAGATCATCGCCCACAAAATGCTTATTTTTCAACATTTTGGTGCGTCATATACCTATCCAAATGTTTGTACATAGAATAGAATTATAATACAGGGTGAGCATAAATTATTGAGCGCATTTCATTCTTTATAGCGCACTTGTGAAGTTTAGCATTTGATTTCTGTCCCTGTTTTAATTTAGTTTGCCATTCTTTGTTTAGTTTTGTACATGACGTAGGTATTGGAGCAGAAACGTTTTTATATATTGCGGGCGCAGTTTCAATACAGATATAAAATCTTTAGCGAGTGAAAGCTTGGATTATACGTGTACGATTTGAAAACGGAGATAAGACCTATTGGGCATTTCAAACGAAAGCCTTTTATTTATCGTTCCCTTGATGATTCCTATCCTGATACATTACTGTTTTGCTGGTTTGAGCAAAATGGTATAAGATGCAATATATTTCAATGGTAGGGGCGTAAAACGTTACATTACACATTACAAATTATTATATTGATGTCCACCACCTACCGGTAAAATATTACGTATGCACACCATTTTATTCTGCCAAAAGGTGAAGGTGAAAGTAAATTGTTTCGCACAGAAATCATTACAGCACCACCGCGGGTCACAAAAGAAGCATTTTTAGGAAGTTAAGGGTAAAAAAACCGTTCGTTCGCCTCATTATGTTATTGAAAAATGGAAAATTGAACAATAAAGCGAGCGATCCAATCCCATATAGAATTATATCTAAGGCTACTTTTTCATAGTTATAATGACGACCATAAACGTCAACATAAAAAAATGTAACACTTACCGGTTCTGCTGACATCCTCCTCGGCTGAATGCAGCGCCACTAAAGACACGGCCGTTAACAAAAATAACCACTTTGCACACTCCATTATCACTCAAATCAGATAACTTTGAGTATTACAAACGTATGAAAGTTTATGTATTGAAGTTAATGGCACTTCAGGTCAACGTAACTGTAAAAGTATAACGTGTTTCCTATAAACGCCTTCTTGCGATGGTGTTAAGCACTCAGCAGTCTTCAATGCACTTCAGTTCGTCCGTGCAACGACGCTGTTATGTGAAGACCTGAAGAATGCAAATACCATTTATACTTAAGGGAGCATTGTGCAATTTCTGCGGTTCTCCCCAATTAGAACCGTCCCGCAACAGGGCAATACCCAGTGAAAGCAAAATCCGGCACCGGCTCTTAAGAAATGGGATTGTCCGCGAAATGGTTTGAAAGTGAAATTGGGATCCGCCGTAAACAACCACTATATTACATCACGGTAATTCGATTTTTATTAAAAAAGGGACGAAAGTGGTTGTCCTTTTTGATTATATTTTTTCGGGTTTAATTCGATAAAGCAACGCAAATACAGAATTCATAAATTTAGATTGAAGTCGGGTTAAATTTATGTAAATATTTTGAACTTGTAAGTGGATTGACCCGAGACCCTTCTTTGGTAATGGAGAAAGTAGATCCGTTTCCGTAAATAGATGGTAAAACCCCGGTCATGACTATATAGTTATATAACGCGGCGTTACATTGTGATGCTAATCGTGTAAGTTGAATAAATTTCGCAATCTCGTTTGCTCCTTGCAACAAATGAAATTTAAAACTGTCGCTTTGTTTACGTCTTTTTGAGTTCCTCAAAGTCTAACGTTCCAACGAACTTTGTGAACAAAGTACGTACCTATATCCATTTACTAACTGCAAATGAACGGCGCTTTGGTATGTACAATATATCGAAGTAGGTACTTGATTTGACTTGCCGAGAATCCTTATTGATGCACCCTACTCATGTTTAAATTATGGTGTAATGTAACCAATTAATTTGGATATAACTCGATCACCTACATATAGAAGTGCATCATTCTTTTCAATTTTCAGTAGGTACAGATAATTTAGAGAACAATCGTGATGGTTGAAGTTCCATCCAGCTTCATATGTATAACAAAGTTTCAAGTAACTTTACTTCTCATTTATATCGGGTTTACCAATAGGGACGATAGGATTTTAAACGTTTAAGGCGGCTATGTTGGATGCCAAACATTTGACATATGCTGTCAGTTGTCATCAGTAAGGCTTGCCATTTCATCATGAACAAGTTCACGTTGCCTCAACGCTTGGAAATTATCCAAATTTTCTACGCAAATTCGCGAAGTTTTGTTGCTACTCAAATAGCATTTCGTGTAAAATACGGTCGCCATGGTGCTCCCTCTGTGCTCGCTATTCGCCGTATAGTTGATAAATTGGAAAGTGAATTTACTCTGCAAGACTCTAAGCCACCCACACGAACACGTAATGCTCGTAGTGAAGAGAATATAGCCGCCGTAGTAGCCAGTGTTTCCGAAAATGATAATGTGTCCATTCCACGCCGTTCGCAAGAGTTGGGGCTGTCCTCAATGACCACCTGGCGTATTTTGCGGCTGGATCTCGGTCTGCACCCATACAAAATGGTTTTGGCACAACAACTCAAGCCAACCGATCATCGCTTACGTCGGGAATTTGCAGATTGGGCTCTAGAGTCGATGGAAAATGATGCAGATTTTCATCGAAAAATCATCTTCTCGGACGAGGCTCATTTCTGGTTGAATGGATTTGTCAACAAGCAAAATTGCCGTTATTGGAGTGAGTCCAATCCTCAAGTGGTTCGTCAATCACCATTATATCCCCAAAGAATCACTGTTTGGTGTGGATTATGGTACGGTGGCATCATTGGCCCGTACTTTTTCAAAAACGATGACGGCTGTGCGGTTACTGTCAATGGCGAGCGCTATCGGGACATGTTGACCGAATTTTTATTTCCCCAAATTGATGATATCGATGGTGACGACATTATGTTTCAACAGGACGCCGCAACATGCCACACAGCGAACGCTACAATGGACTTATTGCGTCAACAGTTTGGTGAATCGTTGATTTCTCAAAATGGCCCCCACAATTGGCCGCCAAGATCATGCGATTTAACACCATTGGACTTCTTTTTGTGGGGCTATGTGAAGTCAAAGGTTTATGCGAATAAACCCAAGACTCTTGACGAGCTCGAGGCCAACATTCGAGCGACCATAGCTGCCATTCCACCCGATATGATCCACCGAGTCATCGAAAATTGGTCCGATCGGATGAGCCAGTGCAAAAAGAGCCGCGGTAGCCATTTGAACGATATTTTGTTTAAATCATAAATGGCATGAAATACAGCATCTAATAAAACCAATCAAACCTAAATTTGACCAAATTGACTGTGTTTTATTTCAATTTAAAATCCTATCGCTCTTATTGGTAAACCCGTTAGTTTTTCGTCACACAGATTTTTATTTAGTTGAGGTTACAACTTGGGCTTCAAGGTAATCATTTTTTCGAACAAATTAAGGACAACTATAATCATTCTTTGCAGGCAGTTTGGTCTGGTTTAGCCAAAGTACATAATATGTAAAAAGCCAGGTGAATTTCAGTGGAAGAGTAAGTTATGGCTTAGCGAAGTCTCAAATAATATCGAGAATAATATTAAATGGAATAAGGATTATCGCTTGACGCGTGACTTTTCTGCAAGGTGTAAACTAAAATACTATTATACTATTACCTATTCTATAATCAGAATCACCATATTTTTGAATAATAAGCGCAGGATTTAATCAGCAATTTGCTTGTCATCAGACAGATTGAGTTTAAATGGGCATGGTCAGCTGATCCCATTCGGTACGTAATATAAAAAAATGTTTTAAAACCCACTCGTGGATGTTGCCGCGTAACACAACTGTTAATGATGTGAGTAACGGGCAAATATAGACCATAGCAGCTATCAATTAACGAAAACCCGAAGTCTCTAAGTGACCCAGGGGCCGAGATTTCGATGGAACAGACAGGCGACAGACATATAGACATACAGACGTACATACAGGCATACAGACATACAGATATACTGACATACGGACATACATACATACAGGAATACAGATATACAGATATACTGACATACGGACATACATACATACAGACATACAGAGATACAGACAGACACGATGGAAAATCGAACACATAAGCGTTACCTCAGCTTCGTTGTGTTACACTAAAAATGGGGCTGGCAATTGTTATTTTTTACAAGACGATAAAGGAGTACTTTAACCTGCATTGAGTGAATTAACTTTCGCGGGATGGTTAGTTTTTCTTTATCGTCATCTGTCTGGAACTTTAATTTATAGCAGAAGCCATATAAATTATTGTAAAGCCTTTGACAATTCTGAATTTAATTTATAGGTCAAAAATAGCAATATCTTGGGTTTACTGTCGCGATCGCTTCTATAGAAACAGCATTGTATTATGTTCTAAACTTCATTTTATTTCGTCCTACGCGTATCATTTAAAATAATAATGTTATTAGAATGCATAATCATATGTTTCACTTTATCTACCCTTACGATTAAAGAGCGACTCATTCAAACCTATAAAATCAAATAAAGTAAATTAGGTAAGTATATAGTAATTTAAAACCCCAAAACTACTAAGAGCAATATCATAATGAACCAATGAAAGTCTAAATGAACTTCATTACACAAACACTTAGTTATTATTCCATTACATCAAAACTCAAGAAATTCTATCAAATTTCCATTTTTGCGAATTGAATTTATTCGATTGTTTTTATATTTTTAAGAACGCCAATGATTGACTAAAATTAAAACCCAAAATTTTTAAAATTTCTGTGACAATAGAATATCTTTACGTGAAAAAAATGAAATGCATTTCGTACTAATAACTAAAAACCTTATTTATGAAAGCATTTAAATGAAATTTGATACATAGGTACTTGGAATAAAAGCAAATATAAGACCAGGTTCAAAATTTGGTTTGGCGCATGTTATAGCATGAATTTTTGTCAAACAATACGAGGTATGTTACATGATTACGTTTTTAAGTTATTTTCGTTATTTTTTTTCGATTACGTGGATGATGTAGCATTTTTATTTAGACCCGCCATTTTATTGAGGATTGCTTTTGGCGCGCCATGCGATAGATGGAATTTCTAGGTTTCTACATTACGGGCTTGGAAATTATACCTACATTAACCATGTGAATCTACTTCATTCTATCAACATTTATACCTAGTTCGAGATTTGTACTTGGAGATTCCGATATTGTTCCTGCATTATTTCTGCAAGTATTTACGAAACGTTTCGAGATTAACGACCTTGTAAATCGCTTCGATATGCCCAATTTTACGTATTTCGTTTTTCTCGTTACCAAAGATTTCATTTTACTGATACCGAGACCAATCTTGTCTACGATTACTTTTGTGACTACGAAGATTGATTGAAGATGGAGCAAGAACACCAAATTTAAACAAGAGTAGATATATTTCGAATGTAAAACAGATTTGCAGTAGGAGAAAGTTAATTCAATTAGTAGAATATGAACAGTGGGGATGCGTCATCTGCAACCTGTCGATTTCTGAGTGTATACCTGCTTGAATTTTGAACAGCACAACGTTTTAATTTGTTGATGGGCAGTGGAGTGAGTCGGAAGCACTCTTAAGGAAGTTTAAGCAGGTTGTGAATCCGATATTCTTACCAATTAAGGGAAAGTATCATCTTGAAAAGATATATCGGCTCAGGTTGGGACATACCTCCCTCACGCATTCTTTTCTTTTGATGAGTCAAGACCCCCCCCCCCCCCCCCCCCCCAATGCGAACAATGTTAGTTAACCTATCTGCAGTAGATCATGTACTTACCTTGTGTGTGTCCCAAAAAATTATAACGTAGAAAGGGTGCGGTGTAACCTGAGTGAAGAAATAATAGAAACCTTGACAAATAAAGATCAATGTGCATCCGTTATGTATCTTAAAAATACTGACCTAATATCTAAAATCTGAGATCTAAATTACACTGGCACCTATATATAATTAATAAAATAAAGCAAATGACCATATAGTAGTCGATGGCCCAGGAGGGGTTTTAGTGGGTATCCGGGGGAGCCCCACACTCAGTGCCCCATTACATTTCTCTCGGCATTTCCCCTCCTGAAGACAAAAAAAATAACGTCTTTATTAGATGTAAATCTAAAGGG